CCACCAACAAACGCACAGCACCGCGGCGGTGCCAGGAAGAGCCTCCGCGCGCAGCAGCCGAGCTGCCGCCGGGCGGAGGAGGCGCGCGGCGCGAGGCGCGGCGCGCGCGGCGCAGGAGTACCTGCGAATCGTGCAGTGTGAGCGAGCGAGCAAACGCAGCGGGGCAGCGTGCATCGCTCGCGAGCAAGGAGATCGGCGATCGACTTTGTGAAAGCCGAGCACGTGAGGCGCCGTCACAGCTGTCGCTGTGAATGGCTTATCGGATGGCTACCTGCGAGCGGGCTGCAGGTGGCCGGGAGGTGGGAACCAAGGCCGTCGCGATCGACAGGCCTACTCGTACAATACGGGCTCCGCTCCACACCGACCAAACCTCTCGGAGCTAAAACCCTGCGTTTGGTGGCCGAACCACGAGATGACGGTGGCGGAGGCGGAGCAGGCAGCGGCGGCAGAGGGCTGCACCGCGACGGCGGAGGAGGGAGCGCTGCTTTACGCGCGCGAGCTGGGAACGGAGGCGTCCGCAGCAGCGGCGGCAGGGGCGGCGGCCGAGTCTATGACGGCGGCGGAGGCGGAGCAGGCAGCGACGGCAGAGGGCTTGACACTGGTGCGCTCGTCGCGCTCCAGCACCGGGTTCGAAGGCGTGTACGCAAGGTCGAAGGGGAGCGGCTTTAGGGTGATGCGCAAGCTTGATGGTAGAACGCAGTACATTGGCTGCACCGCGACGGCGGAGGAGGGAGCGCTGCTGTACGCGCGCAAGCTGGGAACGGAGGCGTCCGCAGCAGCGGCGGCAGCGGCGGCAGGGGCGGCGGCAGCGGCGGCAGGGGCGGCGGCCGAGTCTATGACGGCGGCGGAGGCGGAGCAGGCAGCGACGGCAGAGGGCTTAACACTGGTGCGCTCGTCGCGCTCCAGAAGCGGGTTCGAAAACGTGTGCGCAATCTCGAAAGGCAACGGCTTTGCGGTGAGCCGCTGGGTTGATGGGAGAAAGCAGCATATTGGCTGCACCGCGACGGCGGAGGAGGGTGCGCTGCTTTACGCGCGCAAGCTGGGAACGGAGGCGTCCGCAGCAGCGGCGGCAGCGGCGGCGGCCGAGTCTATGACGGCGGCGGAGGCGGAGCAGGCAGCGACGGCAGAGGGTTTGACACTGGTGCGCTCGTCGCGCTCCAGCACCGGGTTCGAAGGCGTGTACGCAACGTCGAAGGGGAGAGGCTTTAAGGTGAAGCGCAGGGTTGATGGTAGAACGCAGTACATTGGCTGCACCGCGACGGCGGAGGAGGGAGCGCTGCTGTACGCGCGCAAGCTGGGAACAGAGGCGTCCGCAGCAGCGGCGGCAGGGGCGGCGGCCGAGCCTATGACGGCGGCGGAGGCGGAGCAGGCAGCGGCGGCAGAGGGCTTAACACTGGTGCGCTCGTCGCGCGCCAGCACCGGGTTCGAAGGCGTGTACGCAAACTCGAAACGCATCGGCTTTGCGGTGAGCCGCAGGGTTGATGGTAGAATGCAGTACATTGGCTGCACCGCGACGGCGGAGGAGGGTGCGCTGCTGTACGCGCGCGAGCTGGGAACGGAGGCGTCCGCAGCAGCGGCGGCAGCGGCGGCGGCCGAGTCTATGACGGCGGCAGAGGCGGAGCAGGCAGCGACGGCAGAGGGTTTGACACTGGTGCGCTCGTCGCGCTCCAGCACCGGGTTCGAAGGCGTGTACGCAAAGTCGAAACGCATCGGCTTTGCGGTGAGCCGCAGGGTTGATGGTAGAATGCAGCATATTGGCTGCACCGCGACGGCGGAGGAGGGAGCGCTGCTGTACGCGCGCGAGCTGGGAACGGAGGCGTCCGCAGCAGCGGCGGCAGCAGCGGCAGCGGCGGCAGCGGCGGCAGCGGCGGCAGCGGCGGCAGCGGCGGCAGGGGCGGCGGAGGCGGAGCAGGCAGCGGCGGCAGAGGGTTTGACACTGGTGCGCTCGTCGCGCGCCAGCACCGGGTTCGAAGTGCGTGTACGCAAACTCGAATGGCAACGGCTTTGCGGTGAGCCGCAGGGTTGATGGGAGAAAGCAGCATATTGGCTGCACCGCGACGGCGCAGGAGGGTGCGCTGCTGTACGCGCGCCATTTTGGCGCGGAGGCATCGGCTGCGACCGATGCAGCGGAGGACGAGTACGCGGGACGCCAGGCGGTCGAGATGTCGAATGCAGCCGTAGAAGGGAGTAGAGAGGCACAACCAGCGACGGCGTCAAGGACGCGGCCCAGGCACAAGCTCATCCACGGACGGCGCGTGCAGCGGCTGATGGGTCTGCCCGCCGAGATACACGCCCTCGTGCTCGAGCACCTCGCAGCCAGCGCACCGCCGGCCAGCTTCGTGGCGTGCGCCGCCGCCTGCGCTGCGCTCTTGGAGGTGTACATGCGGCACCGCGCTCAGCTCTGGTGCTCTGCGCTCAGCCGCCGGGTTCGCCTCCAGGGTGCCCTGCCCGGTGTTCAGCGCGACTGGCAGGCACTCTACCGCGCATTACTCGGCGGGCGCGACGGGCTCGAGGCCAAGGGGTGGGCGGACGACAACAAGCTCGACAATGCGGACGAGATGCGCCACGCGTGGTGGCAGGCCGACGCGCTGGCGTTCAGCGCCGCCAACGGGCTGGTGCTCGTGCGCTATCGCGGGTACGAGGACGAGGGTGAAGACGAGTGGAGGCCACTCACGCAGCTGCGCCCTTACGAGGAGCGGCCCTCCGCATTGTGGCGCTCGACGAAGCGGACCAAGGGTGAGGCGGTGGAGGTGGCATGGGCGCCGCCAGACCACCCCACTGCTAGGTGGGAAGCCAAGGTGATCGCGGTCCGCGCACGCAAGGCGAAGGTGCGCTTCCTCGGATTTGACGCGAGCTGGGACACCTGGCTCCCGCATGACTCGGACGAACTGTTCCCGGCACGGGCGGGGATTCCCTCCAACCCGTCAACTTAAAGACGCTGTTTGTGGCCCTGTACAAATGGGTCGGGCGGCAGTGATTAATGGGGACGTCAAGAGCCTCCATTCATCTTGCCATACGTGCGTACTCTGATCTCTGAGCCCAGCCTGACCTCTCGGAGTGGTGAACGCTGATGTCAACTGTACTATAATAACTAAGTAGTTTTAGCTCTCTTAACGGACTTGGCCTCGTCGTAAACGTCGAGCGTCTCCTCTGTGAGAGCTCTTTGTGCGGACCACTGTGCTCACATGACACACGTTCCTAACGCCTAAAGGCCCTCTCTCCTCTCTGGACTCTGCTATCTCTCGTATCTGCGCGTACAGCGCGCCTTGACTTCGCCTGGGGTCCATGCCCGAAGCCCACCCTGTGAATGTAGAAGGTAGCCATCCATGGTTGCATAGTCGGCTCAATTATAGTCGGGATTTAAAGCTCAATTGCACGCGCGCACAAACACCCACTCATCCCGGGAGGGCAGGGAGGGACACACAAAATTCACTCACACGTTGGCGAGGGACCGCTCAGCACGATGGTAGAAGGGGCACAACGAGTCGGTCCACCAACGTTTGTGGCGGTCGGTAGAGCGGACCACAAACAAGTAACGCTCATTAGTAGAAACTTACGGGAGTTTACTTGGAGACCCCGCCCGGCGGCAATCGCGAGATCACCTCGTGCTCGTTGAGGATAGCCGCCGTAGGCCCAGCCCGTTGATCGCCGTGGACCACCTCCGGCGGTCAAGGCAACTTTATCTAGAGCCTGCTCTAGAAACCATCGCCTTGACTTCGCCTGGGGTCCATGCCCGAAGCCCACCCTGTGAATGTAGAAGGTATAGAGCCTGCTCTAGAAACCATCGCACACACTGGAGGTACGTGCGTCTGAGGTGTACCGGTACCCCGTAGCGCGCGTAGGACCGCCCCGGCGCGGCGGCGGCGGCCCTCTTCTCACCGCTGTGTTGTACACCATACGTGGCTGGGTTCACAGCGATTGTAAAAAAAAACAACAAGATCGTCGCGGACGACGGCTCCGTCGACTACAAGGGGATCGAGCAGGTCTCGGGGCGCCACTTCCAGCACGTCGCCAACAACGCCCTGCAGCAAGACATGTTCGACGCCATCGTCAACGACCCGAAGGTACACCTGGCGACGCGAGCGCACTTCCGCTCGACGAAGCAACTCGGGGCAGGCGCGGTGCTCGGCATCGACGTCGTCCACAAGGACGTCGAGCTGAACGACAAGGCGTGGCTCCACGAGGCGCAGGGCTACCTCAACCACCCCAAGGGCGCCATCACCCTCGCCACGCGCTGCGTCGGCGTGGGCCCTAACTCGGTGTGCATCTACCACCGTACGAGGCTCCCGGGGTGCGTCCCGTGCGACATCGGCGAGGCGCGAGTGCCGCGCACGCTGTCGCTATTCGAGCACCTCAGCGGCACGCACTGGGACGGATGCAACTACGGCGGCTGGTTGGCCACGGGGCACGCATCCCTCAACACTCACGTCACGAACGTCGCACGCGCCTTCGGCGCCTCGGCAAAGGTCATGGAGGTGAGGCTCGGCTGCAGGGACCCGACGCGGGCGCACGATCCGGACACCAACCCGTACCAGCGGGGCGACGGCGTCTTCGGCAACTATGCAGAGTC